GGGGCAGGGGCAGGGGCAGGGGCGGCGGGGCCGCCGCAGGAGGCGCCGCAGGGGCGGGTGGGCGCCGCGGCGGCGGCAGCGGAGGGCGACGCCGGCGAGGGCGGCGGCGAGGGCGAGGGCGAGGACGCGTTGTGGTGGGAGGCAGTGACAGGCGCTTACAGCTTGCTGTGGGAGGAGGCTAAGGCGCAGCAGGCAGAGGCGGAGTAGCGGTGCATAAGAAGGCACCCGCACGGCCGGCTTTGCGGGGCCCGGCACTGCTCTCCTTGGGGGCGGCACCCGGGCTTTTGACGAAGCATTGTCAATTTTGCAAGCGTCACCTGGCTTGCTTCCCGCCTCCTGCATGCCTGCCCGGGTATGCCTGCTGCGGCTGCGCAGCTCGAGGCGTTTTATCAGCATCAAGTCACGGTGCATCACGCTGCCGTTGCGCGTCCAAGTCGCCGCTGTCAGTGTCAGTGGCGGACTGCTGCTCGCACCAACTGTCCCTGTGCAAGCGCCTGCAAGTGAGCCGGCAACGCCTACATAACCACTTGTGAGCGAGACTGTCATGCTGATGGTGCAGCTGCTTTCTATGCTTTTTTTCAAGTCCCTGATTATTTGCGAGCTCGGCACGCAATGGCTGCCTTGAGCGCGTGTAACTGTATGCTCACCAATGGCCGGTTGCAGTACCCCTTTTCAGTGTTTGGTGTACTCGCTGAGGTGGCCCAACCCGATGTCGAATGCGAGTTGGCTTATCATGATCATGTGTCGACGCATTACAATGCAGCCTCGTAGCGATATTGGCGGCAGCTTCTGAGCTGCACTGAATCGCACAGCAGCAACGGCGATGACACACTCAGTCACATGATTGACTACCGTGTGCTCAAGCCCCCCCGCCCACACACACACACACACATGAACATACAGCCACACGCATGCACGCACAACGCATGTGATGCTGTGTGCATGAATGTATGCCCTCCGCCAACACGCGTCGTGCCTCACATTTGCAGATGCATTTTTGTACACAGAGACGCAGGCACTCCAAAACCTGGCACAAAGTCGACACCGCCGCGACAAGGGCTGCGTGCAGTTTCAACTTGCCGGCATCAAGGGTAGGCAGCACCGACAGCATCAGGCTCAGACAGCCAGTACCTCTGCCAACATAGCACCCACCGAGCCCTCAAGGCTAAAGAAAGGCTTTCGTTGCCTGGCCCAACAGTTGCCTCCATCACAAGCCAATGCCGGCCTCACACACCCTCCTTTGAGTCGTCCGGCCCTGAATCAATCCGCAACTCGGCGTCAGCCCTCCCTCCCGGGCCGCGTCACTCCACCGCGCGGCCGGCCGGCGCAGCAGCGGGGCGCGTCGCGCGCCCGAGGCTGGTGCCGAGCAGGGCTCGCGTCTCGCAGTGGCGGGCGGTGTGCTGCAGTAGGTCCTTGTCAAACTCAATGGAGCCCGGCCTACAGGGTTGAGGGTGCGGCGCAGTCCCAGTGGCTGAGTTGCAGGCGGCATGAACGCAAACACAGGCGAATGACACGAGCAAAGCCTGCCTGTGCTGAATGGCAGTGGTTCGAACGCACAAAGCTGCCTCAGGCGTGCAGACACCGCCGCCTCACCTGAAGACGGTGGCCATGATGGAGCCGCCAAACTCGAACACTGCCGCCTCGTCGCCCTAATGAGTGGTGCGCAGGGCCGTGAGCGGGTGGGGGTGCACGCTGGCAGATGTGCTGGCGTGCTTGGTTGGTGGGCGCCCGGCTGCTCGGAGTCCTTCCGGTGACCGGTATTGTGTTATGGGCAACCACCAATCACATGCAGCCGCTTGATTGCAGGAGCTACGAGAAATCGCCCAAATCAAGGATTGGTCTGATTGACGTGTTGGTGACCCTACGAACACATGCACTGCAGGCACCCCTGCACACGCGTACCAACCTTCGTGACGGCTGCGCCCTCCTTGACCAATGGCTGCACGGTGCCAACGTCGCTGGCACCTATCGCCACCTGAATTCATCATAGGGGAGTGTGGAGGAGGGTAACCGCCAGAATGTCGTCGTCAACTGCGTTTCTGCTGTCTGGGGGAGTGGACTGACCAAGGCAGCTGGCAACGTGGCTGCGAATCGTGCAAGCTCGGAATGTGGTTGTCATCTGGCCAGCACGCAGGTACGTGTACCGCGGAGACTGCACTGCGAGTGGGAGAGCTGCGGTGCGTCGGCAAGCTGCTGGTCGGGGCGCGCGAGGCGCAAATCCAGGGAGAACGCCTCACCATGACCACGGGCCCAAAGGCGTCCGTCTCAAACTCCATGATCAGCCTGGAGGGGCGGACGTACGGAGGGGCCGGTGGAAGGGGCCATATCCTCGTAGCAGCGATTTTTGGGGGTGCCAAGTGCGGCGAGCAGCGCAAGGTCATCCACGCGCACAGGCGCCCCCACCCCATCAGAATAATTGGGCGCAAGCTGCAAGCGAAGTCGTTCTGCCGCCAGTCGGCTGCTCTCCCTGGCACACGAGGCCCGCACACACCAACCCACGCAGGCAGCTGCAGCACCCCACCTACTGCCCACGCACTAGCAGAAGACACGCAGGTCGTCACCAGGGTGTAAACACCCCTTGCCAAAGAGCCGCATCAGAGCCGCATGAGGCCGATGCTGGCTGCACAGAGATCCAAGCGCTCCTACTTTCATCTGCATCAAATCAGCGGGGCACACAGTGCCGCAAGCGCACCTCTCGTTCTCGACCATCACGTCCAGCGAGGAGTGCACCGCCACCCACATGGATGACATGAAGCGGTCGCCACGGCGCGTGATCTGGGGGCGGGGGGCGGCGGTCGGTACGGCTAGGTTGACCAGGCAAGGCCCTGGATTCAGGGCTTGAGGAGATTCAGGACGCGCAATGTAATCAGGTCTGCTCCGTGCCCCATGTTTCGTTGAATGAGATGCGGCCTCCCTGAGACTCTCCAGGCCAGCGCATTGCTGCATGCTAACAATCTGACGGCACGCAGGTCGCGTGCCTGTTCAGCTGCCTGCACAGGCCCGCTGAAGCACCAACCACACATCTGGCTGGTGGGTGCTGAGGGATATATATTGTAAGCACCCATCGATCCACATGACCCAGCAAGCTCATGCACTCCGCTCACTTTTGCGACGCGGCCGGTGACAGGGGCGTGGAGGCGGTGGCAGTCTGCGGGAGAAAGCCTGCGGGCACGCGGCAGCAAGCGAGGGCGCCTTCAGCAGGAGGCCGTGCTGACTCAATTTCACCGCATCCAGGCTTGCTGTTGGCCGCCGCACCTATCCCTGCCTAGCAGGACTCAGACAGCGGCATTGACCAACGGTCTGTATCTACAGCAATCACAGAGCAGACAACCGTGCGTGGCTCAAGTTGAATCCTCAAATCGAATATGAATTGAAAGCCGGCGGAGCGAGCGGCAGCGGGGACGCGCCTGCTGACGACGATGGCGCACTCGCGCCACTCTGCGGGGTCGTAGCCTGGGCCCAGCAGGCTGGGGACGTTGAAGCCCTTGCCCTTGATCCTGGGGGCAAGGGGGGGCGTGGACGGCAGGGGTGAAAAGGCAAGGGGGGGGAGGCACAAATGTACAGATGCTGGTAGGCACCTGTTTGTCATGCTGCTAAATCCAAGATTGCTTCTTGGACAGAAAACAGCAGTTCAAATTGCAACTACTTGCACACGTCTCCAACCCACAAATCAAGCCACCCCCACCCCCACCCACCAGAGCTTCTTGGCGCTGCTGACTGAGGGGAACACCACCACCCGGGAGTCGGCGGGGTGCACCGCCACGTTGGGGTTGCTGCGTGCGCAACGCACGCAGTTCAGCGGGTCGTGGAGGGGTTCAATGCCGCACATTCGTAAGTTGGGGTTGATCGTGCGAAAAAAAACTTTGCGATTGCAGCCAGCTTTTGCTCTCTTCCAGGGCTGGAGGAGGACGATCCTGACATCCATCCTCTATCTAGCTGCGCCTGCAGGACGGAGGGTCGACACGCTCTGCCCCACCAAGACTGCACACCGCGTTCCAACTGTAAAAAATCAAAGGCGGCATCTCCGTACCTTGGCCTCGCTCTCATTCCCTCCCTCCCCGCCCTTGTACCGCACACTCACCCCGGCTCCGCAATGGGCCGTGCGCCCGGCTTGAGTTCGCGTGTGAAGAAGTCCTGAGGGCCACCAGGGTTAGAGGTTACGGAGAAGGGGACCGCATACCTAATTTTCAATGCTAGTTGAACAGCATCACCTCCTCAGTCAGAGCAGACACCGAGGTGTTTCCCCAACGTTTTGTGGGCATGCTTATAGGAAGCAGCTGCGCTGAAGTTTGCAGAAGGCGGGGATTGGCGCCGTCAGTCCGCATACGGACTGGCCTACGCGGGCATAGCGGTACCCGCCTTGCACCACTGGGTTCTTTTGTCCTGCACCATCCGCCCATACGCGCGCCTGCAGGGTCTTGAACTCTTCGACAGACCGCGCAGAGTCATCCATGCCGATGCGGTAAGACTGGTGCGCGTGGTGCATGCGGGGTGCATCCATAAGCGTGGCACGCATGTGAGCCAAGGTGAAAAGAGGGGCGTTGGGGTCGAGTCAACAGCGGCGCTGCCTATGAGTGGGCGAGTGAGCGGGTGCACGCCCAACGGGTGCACAGCTTTATCGGCAGCAAATCCTGCCGTCGACGCACGGCCTGCTGAAAGGCTGGACTGGGCAGCGCGCGCGCCAGGCGGATTCGTCACGCACAGCTTGCTTGCTGATGAGAATCAACCACACGCACACTCGACGGGGGCAGGGCCGGCCAGCTCTTCTGGTGCGTGGCCCCTTGCGTCTTGCCTGCCCGCCAGTGCGTCTCACCTTGATGAATGGTTTGATCTTGCCCTTGCTCTTGGGGCTGTTTGCATAGGCGGCAATCCGCTTGTGCTCCTGGGTCAGCAACCACCAGGTGATCTGGGTGGGGGCAGTTACGCCCGCCAGTGCGTTGATGGGGTCGGGTGTGGGTGAATTCAGACATGGTCCGTGCACCCACCTGGCATTGAGCTGGGTTCAATGTCAAGCAAGAAGTTGTTGGCAGCAGGTTGACCTGAGGGCGATTCTCTGTGCCTGCGGAGTGGCATGGGGCTTGCTGCCAAAGCATATTGCGTGCGAGCGTGCGCGTCCGTGTGCGCGTGCACGTGCCTGCAAATGTGAAGATGCGCACACGGATATGCCATCATCAGGGCAGATTGTCGCCGCACGCTGTCCCCCCGCACCGGCAGCTTCAGCAACAGGCGACCAAGCCAGGTGTTGTACAGCAGGGCTATGCGCAGGGACTTGCTCAGGGGAGTCTGCAGGGGCAACAAACGGCCGCACGGGCGCGTGCGTGATGTGTTGAGTGTGAAGGGGTACATTTTTGGTTCCGAAAAAGCACTACTCCGTATGCCTTCTGGCTGAAGACCAGATTTGGCCCTCGATATGCGTGTGCATGGCGGGCGGCACAGCGGGTTTGCAGAGACGCGGCGCACCGGCTCAGAGACGCGTTGTCCAGTTGTGCGATCTATGAGGCAATGTGTCGCCTCAAATGACGAGAAGGAGAGCCCCATTGTGTCGTCGTAGCAACGCGCAACGCGATCAATTAGATTTGGACTTTGCGTCCGGTGTGTTCTTGGAGTGTGCTTGAAATCGCGGAATATATTAGTGATAAGGAACGAACGGCTTCCATGCACAGCCTTCAATCAGCGAGCACCGCAGCTCAGCAATGTGTCATTTCAAACGTGACCCAAAGGATCCATGTTCTGGTGACATCACGCTGTCGTCAGCGCTGTGAGTGTGCATCTGCTGTATGCCTGCCTTGCCAGTCCACTATACATGACCGCAGTTACGCGAACAACGGGGCAGAGCATCGTAGGCAATCCTGGGAGCCGTCGCTGGTTTGATGGTTGACCAGGTCATGCACGCAAACCCTCAAGCCTTGGGCGACGTCCTTTCATAGACATGTATCATTACAGTACCACGCGCAAAACACATGCGACATCACTGCCGCCCAGTGAGTTTGCAATCCTGCTGGTTGTTGAAGGCATGTTCATTACAGGCCAATGCACAAGCAACCAACGCGCATGATGCACTGCAGGTGTGGCACAACCTGAGTGCATGTGGCCATCTCAGAACACACTGCATACAATTCACTGCAGAAGATATTTGCAGCGGGTCCTGGGACAATTTCCAAACCAAAGGACTTTTGCGGTTCAACTTTTTCCTTAACTGGATGTTCATTGCCGGAAAACAAAAGGTTCCATCTGATTTTGTTCCTGAATGCAGCCCCGTGTTCCTTATTGCAGCCTCCTGCTGCTGCTCCTGCTGCTGTTGCTGCTGTCGCCGCTGCTGCTGCAAGGCGCCTGCTGCTTGCAGCGCACTTTCCACAGCAGCGGCCAGGCTCAGTGCAGGAGATTGAACTCCACTCAGTTCCCAGCGCAGCATGAACACTCTCAGGCCACCGAAGGCTGCCAACGCCACGATGTAGCAGAAGGCCCTCCCTTGAGGCCTGTAGGCTTGCCAACATGCAAGCGCCACAAGCACTGCCAACCCCGCAGCTGCAATCAGGACCAACAACTGTCATGAACTCTTCTTTTCAGCAACTCGGCGCCGAGGCGGCGTCAACCAGTACCATGTCGCCTTCTCCGCCTGCACAGAAGCACAGGCAGCAGTTGCATTAACCATGCATGTCTGAAACCCGCTAATCTGCTGCTAGCAAAAAATGACCAAGCATGCCAGCAGCCTCCTATCTGATGCTTTAAGATAAGTCAAGCAGCACCTACATGGCAGTGCCGCAGTGCTAGCAGCTCACCATGTCATCAGACCACTTGTTGAGCCGCTGCATCATGTCCTCCCAAGCATCCGGCTCGGCGTGATCTGCAGATCGGCACGATCCGACAGTCACAGTTGAGGGACCCGTTGGTCGAGAAAAGGCTGCAAAGCGAGGACAGAGGCAACAGTGCCAAGGGGTAGGATCCCTGCTGCTGTCATGGGGCTTACCATCTGCCCGCTGTTTGGACAATGATGAAGCCTTCGTTTCCCATCGCACAGCAGCCTTTTCCATCCCAAATCACAGTACTAATCTGAAGCGTGTCACCTGCTGCTGCTGTGGGATGATGGAAGATGCCCGGGCGGGGACCATCAAGGTACATGCGACGGCAGGGGCATGGCACGCATCAAAGCACAACCCCGCAGGGCGCGGGCAGACTGGACCACTGCAAGGCGTCCGTTGCCGCCACACTGCATTTATTCCCGTGCGTCCAACAAAGGCTCACCTGCTGCTCCTGTTGAGGGACCTAGGAGAATCCGAAGCCACACGATGCATACATGGGAATGGGCAGCAACAGGCATGGGATGCAAGGTCGAGAAAAGTCAAGACAGGTTTGCACCAGCAGGCTTCATGCTGAGCCCCTCCCATGGCGGTGCATGAGTTCAATATTGACAACTGGGACTGCTGCTGCGTAGGTTCTCAGCTGCTCCACAAACAGTGGCAGAAGCAGCAGCTGGGGATGCAGGGTTAGCAGGCTTGCCAGCCGGCCGGCACCATCGCAAAATCTTGCAGCATCTCACCTGCTGCTGTGTGTCAGTTGCAGAGGGCCAGGCAACAGCCGTGCAGGGCAGATGCGAGGAAAGGGGTCAATAATAAGGGTACTTGTTAGCTCGTATACTGGTGGGCCGGCCACCCATTGCATGTGACGAAACAAAGTGGGCAATAGGGTCTGAAAGCACAGATCAGCATGCTTGTACAGAGTGGTAATAAAGGGGCGATTCCAGTAAGCGAGCGGTGTCAGCACGGACAATCAGGTGATGGGAATGAGGAACTGGATAACAGAGCACGTATGCTTGCTGCCAACTGTGCCCGCAGCTGTGGGGCGCCCGGTGTTGTCACTTCACCATGCTTGCAAGCTGCAGCTGGGTCTTCCATCAAGGTTTGCACTGACCATCATCTTGATCCACACGCAACAGCAACGTATGCTGTGTACGCCCCGGGAAGCCCCAGCCCCAATCAGTTGATAATATGGATTGCAAGATGCTCACAAAGCTCACCTGATGCTGCTGCTCCTGTGCCTGGAAGATGGGATGGTGGACAGAGGAAGGCCAGGGTGTGCGGAAGGCCAGGAGGTGGAGGGTGGAGCCAAGCATGCGATAAGGCACAAGCACGCTTGTGGGCACAAATCGAGCCATGCAGCACAACTGCTGGGCTGCAGAGCTGCCTGCTGCCCTGGCACCACCCAAGCATGGCGCATATGGAGTGCTCCGTACGCCTGCTGGGAGCAGGCCCCGGGGAAGCGTCATGCCCCTGCTTGTTGCAAAAGACTATCAGCAATTAAAAAGCAAGTTTGCTAGCTGACTGGACACATGCAACGCACTGCGACTGGAAGGGGCAAACTGGCAGCTGGCATGCTGGACATGGTGGTGCATGCGGCTGATATTGACAACTGCGACTGCTGCAGCATGGATTCAGACGATGCGGTTGCGCCAAGCGCAAACCGCCTGCCATTGACCTCACTGTGATGCTGCCATGTACGGGACGGCCCAGGGTCGGAAACCCACCTGCAGCAGCTTCCTTGAGCATGTCTGTTCGAATGTCGTCTCCCATGGCCATGTACTTCTGACATGTTGACTCATCGAATCTGAGAACCACCTGCATCACTGCGCGCTTGTCACCCACATCAACGTGGCTATCCACCCAGCGAACGAGCTGCACGCTTGCAGAGTCCTTCATGACCTTGTAGCTGCAAGTCAATGATGATGCACGGAGAGGCAGACGGGGAAGGGAACTGAGCTGCAGCCAAACACAATGGCTGCGCAAAAACTGGATATTGGAGGAACCCACGCGAGCTGCGATGACAAATGGAGGTAGGCGTGCAATCACGTCTTGGTTTGAAGGTTGTACTCAAAGTCTTCACAAACCCCTGTGCTGCATGGAAGGCAACTAAACAGGTGAGAGTTCGCAAGTCACAACTCAAGGAGCACTGGAGGTGAGTGTCGACACTCCAGTGGTAGGAGGACTGCACTGCTAAAGGTGGGTACCAGCAGTGCGCCTCTAATCAACATCCAGCCACGCTCCTACCTCGCGCATAAATCAACCCCTGCAGTTGTCCACCGCCCACAAAGTTGTCAAGGGAGTATGCAAGAAGATGGGAATCTGCTCAAAGGTTGTGAGGCAGTAGCCGGTGCATTGCACGCAAATTGCCTGTCAAAGCCATGCACAGGTGGCACGCAAATTGGGTCCAACCACCAAGCAGAGGGCCCCAGCAGCGATGTGATGCCTTGCCCTGCCGACGATGGGCAGCAGCGCCACGAGCGCGTCGCCACCCGGCACCCAGCCTGCTCGCACCCAGCGCACCCAGCAGCAACTATGCACCCTTGAGCCTCCTCCCAAGACAGGCTGCAGCGCAACACATGGAGTGGGTTGGTCGAGGAGGAGAAGATGAGCTGCTCGAAGCTTCAAGGGGTTCAGAGATGCTCTGTGTGTAACGCAGTTTTCGCCCCCGTCTTTTCGGCATTCCCCGTTTGTTGGCCCGTTCACGCCAACAACGCAGCAGGCATTGCACTCCGCCCAGTGCCGTTGAGCTGGGGCGCCCCGCCGCGGGAGGCGTTCGCAGCGACCGGGCCGCTCGCAGCTGGCCGCTATGTTGTCTCTCTCAGCGTTGTCGCCACTGAGGGTGTCAGGGCGAGGCCTGCCCATGAAGCCCAGCCAGCAGGTACCTGATCTTGCTCGCACCTAGAGCTCCAGACGCGGAGGAAATCACTCGCGCCACGGTGGCGAAGCTGAGACAAGCGGCTGTTTGTCGAGGAGGCAATAGATTGTGCGCACTTGATAGATTCAAAAATTCAAACATAACCGAGTTTACGTAAAAACGCAACCAGGTGCTACCGTATGATATTGCTTGTGCAAGTGCAAGCCCCTGTCCTGCAGCAGCGCTGCTGCACTGCTGCAATTGATGTGACTTCCTTCCCCACTTGTGCATCTGCCGTATGCCTGTCTTACCGTTCTACTATGCATGACTTGATGTACACGAATCAAGCGCCAGAACAGCCTGGGCAATTACGGTAAAGGAGGCGTCGCCGGTTTGATGGTTGACCAGTTCATACACACAATCCCTGCCAGGGCGATACCTTTCATGAAAATATATACCATTACAGTGTCACCCCGCAAAAACACATGCTGCATCACGATCGACCAGTGGTTTTACAATCCTGCTGGTTGTTGACGGCATGTATGTTCATGCAACATCAACTCCCGCACACGCACATCCTGAGTAACTGTGGCCAGTTCAAAACACTCTGCATGCTTCTACTGCAGAAGAGATTGGCAGGAGGGTTTATGCGATGTACATCAGCGTGCTGGATGACACTCAGTGCAGCATCAACAGCGATTGGGGGTGCATGCATGTGCACGTCCGTTACCGGACAAATGCGGTTCACCCCATTCACAGAGCCCTGATGCACGGCCGCCCTCCATCACCCCGACAGGTGAGGGTCAGTAGCCTCGCCCATCGTCCCTTTCATACAAATGTGATCCGAAAACCAAACGGCCAATTCCCCTCCGTAAGCTGCATCACTGCACTGCACGCCCCGCAGGCGCGCCGACGGGGCGCGTCGCACGCCCGAGGCTGGTGCCGAGCAGGGCTCGCGTCTCGCAGCGGCGTGAGGTGTGCTGCAGCAGGTCCTCGTCAAACTCAATAGAGCCCGGCCTGTGAGGACGTGCAGCGTGGTGGAGAGTGATTTGAAGTGGATGAACTAGTATTATGGCAACAAACCCCGGGGAAACGTGAGTTATACTGTGCGCACATGAGATTTGCAGTCAATTAAGGCTCCAGCTGGCGAGACTGAGAGACTAATGAATGACGTACCAAAGGTGTTGAAGCCTGACCGCACTATTACTTGGACGCCAGTGCAATAAGAAGGCAGCGAATGTGCTCCATCGGCGCAAGTGCTCGCCGCCGCCTCACCTGAAGACGGTGGCCATGATGGAGCCGCCAAACTCGAACACGGCCGCCTCGTCGCCCTGATGAGTCACGGCAACAAGGTTTTCCGGTGGCACAAGGATGTGTTTTTCCCGTTGAATCAGCAACCTTGACTGCTTGGGCAGCCAGGCCCCCCACGTGCCTTGTTCATGGAATATTCGATTCAGATGTTTCAGGTATTCTGAAGGCCCATGCACACGGAGTGCTGAGGCCACCCAACACCGACTCGGTCGGACCTTGGTGACGCGCGCGCCTTCCTTGACCAGCGGCTGCACAGTGCCGACATCGCACGCCCCAATTGCCACCTAACACACGAAGAGAGTCGCATGGCGGCAGCCAACGCCTCAGTGTGCGCATCCCGCACCAGCTTGCGCCGGCAAGTGCAGGCTGCGCCGCTGGGAGCCACCGAATATGTGCCCACAGAGCGCAGGTGGGAACTTCTCAAAAGGGCCGCGGATGGAATTGGCTGGACAGGAACTAAAAGGGGGGGCGCGGCAGGCACGACGCAGCGCAGTGCGCATGCATGGCTCATCAGCGCCCCAAGGCCGGCCTCACCATGACCACCGGGCCAAAGGCGTCCGTCTCAAACTCCATGATCAGCCTGGAGGGGCGGGATGGCAGGGACCGGAGGGGCAAGGGCGGCATAGTTGTCGAGTGGCAACATCATCCAGTCCAGCACGTACGGCAGGCTGTGCAGCTGCATTCACGCACGCTCTCGTCGCTTGGCGTCCAACGCCAGCCTCACCAGGCTGTTCTAGCATCGCTCCGCAGCAATCAGCGCAGCTTCAGGCCGCCCAAGCTCTGCCCCCCTGGGGCGCAGCTGCTGTACCCTACCCGTCCGAGCAAGGTCGTGCAGAGCGTTCTGTCAGCCCCTTAAGTAATGGCCAACTGTCCAGATGCAACAATGCAGATATAGAATAGATTAGCGGCGCACACAGTGCCCCGAGCACACCTCTCGTTCTCGACCATCACGTCCAGCGAGGAGTGCACCGCCACCCACATGGATGACATGAAGCGGTCGCCACGGCGCGTGATCTGGGGGGGCGGGGGCAGCAGTGGTCACGCCACCAGGGTAAGCAGGTTGATCAAGACTACAGCAGGCGCTGCGCTCGGCAAGGGCGAGAATGCGACAGGTTTCCTCTCTTCCTACCGGGTTGGGTGCTGCGTGCCGACATGCATGCGGCTCTGATCGGCTGGACAAGGTCGGCGACAACGTGTCGCTCCGAGCTCGCTGCCTGTACGCCTGCTTGCTCACTTAAGTGGCAGCATGCCTTGTGCCTGATCAGCTGCTTCCATTTTTGGTGCCCCGCATCGAATGAGTTTCACCACAACGCATGCAATCTGCGTTGTCCTGTGAGCAAGCGTCGCCGTCACGGGGCACCCTCACACGCCAGCCACCAGCTCAGCGACGCACCTTGGCAACGCGGCCGGTGACGGGGGCGTGCAGGCGGTGGCAGTCTGCGGGTCCCAGCCTGCAGGCATCAAGGGCGGTGCTCGCCGTCAAGCAGGCTGAGCTGGCTTGATTATGTATGGTCAGGCCTCGCTGCTGCAAGGAGTGCTTTCCCTGGCATGCCATAATTGACAGCAGGCCCCGGCAAGCAGAACCAGCAATCAGTGCACATGTTTGCATGAAAATGCAGGCTTTTGATCTCCCGGCCTCAGAACCTGTTCATCAGAGTAAGCGGCGTCAAGGCACACCTGCTGACGACGATGGCGCACTCGCGCCACTCTGCGGGGTCGTAGCCTGGGCCCAGCAGGCTGGGGACGTTGAAGCCCTTGCCCTTGATCCTGGGGGGGAGGGCGCGGGGGGAGGGGGACAGGAG